ATATATATATATATATATATTCAAATTACTCCTGGGATTTCTTACTGCAGTGTACTATATCAGAGATATAGGCAGAGACATGAAGAAAATACATTAAACTTAAAGGTTATGTCAGAATACTAAATTTGAGGTCCGAGAAAGTCCTTTCTCTTTTTTCTAATTATCTCCAATGTGGTTATATAAAACTTATAATTAAGGAATGAGATCCACACATCCAAAAAAAAAAAAAAAAAAAAAAAAAGGGAAAAAATGATCAAGAGAAAAAAAAAAAAAAAAAAAGACACCAGACAGTGAAGATAAATGCTGACTGATGTAATTTTGTTTTTTAAAGTAATTCTTGGCCAGGTGCAGTGGCTCACGCCTGTAACTCAACACTTTGGGAGGCCCAGGCAGGCAGACTGCTTGAGGTCAGTTGTTTGAGACCAGTCTGGGCAACATAGTGAAATCCCATCTCTACGGAAAATACAAAACCTTGGCCGGGTGTGGTAGCGCACATCTGTGGTCCCAGATTGAGAAGGCTGAGGAGGGAGGATTGCTTGAGCTCAGAGGGCAGAGGTTGCAGTGAGCCAAGATCATGCTACTGCACTCCAGCCTGAGCAACAATGAGATCCCATCTCAAAAAAAAAAAGTAATTCTTATGTGTAAATGTTTTCATTATAAGTGATTCATATTTACAGGAAAAAAAGAAATCAAGAAGAAAATTTAATTGTCCACAAACTCACCACTCACATAATCAGTGCTTTTTTTGAAAAAATGGTGCATGAACAAGAATATAGACACCTATGCCTCACACAGAAGTAAAACTGTGAACTAGCCACAAGTCCTTAAGGGTTTCAAATAGACTTTTTTTTAAGTGTATTTATAGTAAAACATATAAAATTTGCCATTCTGATTATTTTTAAATGTTTGATTTATGGCATTTAATACATTCACAATCTTGTACAAACATCAGCATTCTTTCCAAAACTTTTTTATCATCCCAAACAGAAATACTATATCCACTTCCCTTTCTTGCATCCCTGGGTAAACTCTAATCTGCTGTCTGACTCTATGAATTTGCCTATTCTAGATATATAATAAAGGTGGGATCACACCTGTATGATTATATATAAAACTAGCCTTTTCTGTCCATCTTATTTTACTCAGCATAACATTTTCAAGGTTCATCGATGTTGTAACAAGTATCAGAACCTCATTCCTTTTTGTGGCTAAATAATATTCACATTCATACATATGCAAACACCTCCCACATACATTTTGCCTATGCATTTATATCCATGCTGATGGACATTTGGGTTATTTCCACCTTTTGGCTCTCGTGAATAATGCTGCTATAAACATTAGCATGCAAGTGCCAAACTGAGTTTTAATAGTTTGCTCTGGCTGAACTATAAAGGAACACAGTAAGAGAAACTGACATAAGCAATTGCCACAATAAAATTCAACAGAATATAAGACATTAACTTTATGATTTTAATATAATACTTGATTTTCTCCAAATTTTCTTAAATATGTATTATTTTGCATAAATGGGGGGAATTAATTTTTATTAGAGTCGTTTGTCCTGACAAGATAAATATATTCTAATCTTAAAAAATATACAGTAAGGAAATAAAAGGGAGAGATCAACACAATGCTGAACAAATCAGGAGATCATTACTGAGGTCAGGATTGCAGGTTAGCAGCACCGCTGAGAAGAGAGCAGAGTTGAAGCCTAAAAGCATCTTTTTTTTTTTTCTGTTCCGAATAAGAGAAGGTACTAGTCTGCCCTCCATAATGACGAGCACAGCAGCTAGTATACACCAAACAACAAAAGTTGGCTGAAAGAAGCTGGGCACAGTTGCTCCTACCTGTAATCCCAGCACCTTGGGAGGCCAAGGCAAAAGGATCACTTGAGGTCAGTTCAAGACCAGCCTGGCCAACATGGTGAAACCCTGTCTCTACTAAAAATGCGAAAAAATTGGCCGGGCATGGTGGCTTATGCCTGTAATCTTTGGGAGGCCAAGGTGGGCAGATCATGAGGTCAGGAGTTCAAGACCAGACTGGCCAACATGGTGAAACCCCGTCTCTACTAAACAATATAAAAATTAGCTGGGCAGGTGGTTTGTGCCTGTAATCCCAGCTACTTGGGAGGCTGAGGTAGGAGAATTGCTTGAACCAGGACCCGGAAGGTGGAGGTTACAGTGAGCCGAGATTGCACCACTGCACTCCAACCTGCGCTGCAGAGCGAGAGTCTATCTCAAAAAAAAAAAAAAATTAGCTGAGTGTGGTGGCACATACTGGTAATCCCAGCTTCTCAGGAGGCTAAGGCAGGAGAATTGCTTGAACCCAGGAGGCAGAGGTTGCAGCAAGCCATGATCACGCCACAGCACTCCAGCCTGGGCAACAGATTCAGACTCCGTCTCAAAAAAAAAGGTAGCAGAAATGATTAATAAACGGATAATTCTGTAGACCTCTAAGCTCTACTATCTGTGTCATATTTTTTAAATTATTTATATTTTTAGTCTCAAATTGACTATTATAAGCATCTCGAGTTTCATAGTAAGTTTTATAGAAACCATAAACTCGGGGAAATTGGCAGGTAGGTGAATGGCAGGTAATTATATCTCAGAGATCATTATTTAAACTGCAACTTTGCTTAAACAAAATTACAAACCAAAGTGTACTCACTTATCGCATGATATTTTTTTAGTGGGTATTTGTCTATTTGTAATGCCAAATGCATCCAGAGTTCTTTTCTTATTTGCTTCCAAAATAAATAGCAATATATCAAATTGAGAAGTATATCCTAAAATGTTTGCTCAAATTTCAAAATGCTGTATCAACACAAATATAAAAGGTCATTAATTTGTATCTGCATACATCATTATGTCTCTCTCTTCAAGGAGTTTTCAAGGGGTTAGAAACTCTGAGCCCAAAAAAACCTGATATATAACTGAATTAACATGTGGAAGGTTAAAAATAATATTTACACCAGTTCCAGTAAGATTTTTTTTAAGAGATGGTGTCTTGCTACATTGCCCAGGTTGGTCTCAAACTCCTGGGCTCTCGTAATGCTCCCGTCTCAGTCTCCCAAGTAGCTGGGACTAACAGATGTGTGCCACCACACATGGTTTCATTCTAGTAAGATTTAAGGTTGGTACAAATATCTTATTACAGTAGGATTTAAGGCTGGTACAAATGTAATATCTATCTTCAATCTTTTAACAGGTTATAATAATTGTTGTTCCAGCTCTGTAAATGGGAATAAACACCCATGCAATGTCTTGTGTGTTATAAGTATTATCAATAA